ATAATATGTAAGCTATGATAAGTGAGCTGTCATAAAGGAATCACAGCCGGTGTCGTGTATTGGGCGGAGCTAATAGCTCAAACACAGCAAATGCATTAACGTATAATGTACATGGAATTTGTGTGTGTGTGTAGCATGACTATGCCGCATACGTTTACCTCCCTTGTTCACTCACGGGGAGGCCTCGTATCTAACTATAGTATCGATATTATCGCATCACATAGTAATAGTGTGTGTGTGTGTGTGTGCGTGTGTGTGTGCGTGCGTGCGTGTGTGTGCGTGCGTGCGTGCGTGTGTGCGTGTGGCCCGCGTTGAAGCGCTCGTCTGGTGCGCGTGCGTCGCGATTGTGTGGTGGCGAGCCTGCGTAGCCGTGGTTGTGCTGTGTGTGTCGGTGCGGCCCGTAGGATGCCACTAGTTCGCCGTGAACGACGACCGCAGATTTAAACGCGAGGTAACACACATATCTCGTACTCGCAATTGTAAACACGATTTAAGTTTTCATAGAACAAGGGGATTTATGTTTTCACATTATGTTGTTTTTTGTACCTGAACAGTCGATGAATGTAATCATGTTAATTTGCAGTCGCCCGGCGTATGTCTGCAAGCCTTTGCGCGTTGTATGAAACGGAGGGTTGGTTTGTCAGACTAAAGCGGAAAGCCGGATTGTCTCTCCCGCGTGCGTCCCCGCTCCAACGTGACATGGTCTCCCGAATCTGGCGGAAGTTTTTTCTTCCTGTTGTGTGGGTAAGAGGAGGAGCCGAGAATTGTCGGGGCAGGGCTTCTGGTCTCTCATATGGGGCATANGTGCGTGTGTGTGCGTGTGAGCGTGTGGGTGCGTGTGTGCGCGCGTGCGCTCGTCTGTGTGCGCGTGCGTGCGTGCATGTGTGTGTGTGTTTGCGTGCGTGCGTGCGTGCGTGCGTGTGTGCGTGTGTGTGTGTGCGTGCGTGCGTGTGTGCGTGTGTGTGCGTGTGAGCGTGTGGGTGCGTGTGTGCGCGCGTGCGCTCGTCTGTGTGCGCGTGCGTGCGTGCGTGTGTGTGTGTGTGTTTGCGGGCGTGCGCGTGTGTGCGTGTGTGTGCGTGTGAGCGTGTGTGAGTGTGTGTGAGTGCATGCGTGCGTGCATCACTAGGTTCGTATACGCGGGTTTTACGGTATACTACATATCCGTACTGCATTGCAAAACGTTTAATTTTCATAAAAGGCATTTGTTTTCACATATTTTGTTTTTACTGTACTAGTGATATGTAAATCATGTTAAATTTGCTGCTTATGTCTCGCTTTGCGCTTATGAACTTGGTTGTAGACTAAACGAAACGGAGTTCTCCAAACTTGCGAGTTTTTCCTTTGTTGGGAACGAGGAGACGAGAGATTTCGCTGCTTCTCTCCGGGATAACACAGTTAACGTACACTGCCATTGTGACTCCCCTCAGGCACTCTAATTTTCAAACTTGTTAATAATAATGCTAATTTTCTTTACGCAGGTAATATTGCAATAAATTATTTCATAAATATTATGGTATTATGTTAAGGTAATTGTGATTGGCGCTGTTTTCCTTGTTAACGATTTAAGTGCGTTCGTTATCACCTCGCGTACGCGCGTGGGTGTGCGTGCGTGCGTGCGTGGGTGCGCGAGGGTGCGTGTACGTGCGCGGGTGTGTGCTTACTTGCGCGCGTGGGTGCGCGTGCGTGCGTGGGTGCGTGTACGCGCGTGGGTGTGCGTGCGTGCGTGTGTGGGTGCGTGTGCGTGCGTGCGTGGGTGTGTGCTTACTTGCGCGCATGCGTGTGTGTGCGTGCGTGCGAGCGTCACGTGTGTGTGCGCACGTGCACGTGTGAGTGCATGTGTGTGTGTGCGTACGTGCGCGTGTGCGTGTACGCGTTCGTACGTGCGTGTGTGTGCTTACTTGCGCGCGTGGGTGCGTGGGTGTGAGCGTGTGCGTGCGTTCGTGCGTGTGTGCGTGCGTTTATGCAGTTACGAGCGTGTGCGTGCGTTCGTGCATGCACGTGTGTGTGCGTGCGTGCATGCACGTGCGTGTACGCGTGTGTGCGCCCGCGTGCGTGCGAGGCGGTACGATCAGTCCTACACGCACGCAGCAGTTTGCTCGATGTATACGTCTGCTTACAAAGTCGTAAAGCGACTGAAGCTGCTTGCAGCGGCGACTGAAGCTTGCACGCGCAGTCACCAATTATCATTGCAACGCTACAATCAATACCTGATGCTATCCCGCAGCGAGCTCTGCATTTCTCTGTGTAACGACGTGATGAGAACGTGAGACAAAAGCGGGTGGGAAGGTGGGAGGAAGTGGGGGAGTGGGGATAGGGGGAAAGAGTGGGGGAGGTGGGGAGGTGTGGTCAGGGAAGAGTGGGGGGGTGGGGATTGGTGGGGTGAGGGGGGAACGAGTGGGGGGAGGTGGGGATGTGGGTGGTAGGCGGGAAGCGTGGGGGGAGGTGGGGAGGAATTGGGGGGGTGGAGAGGTGGGAGAGGTGGGGAGTGGGGATGGTGCGTGGTAGAGGGGACCACGAGTGGCGGGAGGTGGGAGATGATGGGAGAGGTGGGAGAGGTCGGGAGAGGTGTGGGATGTGGTGGGAAACAAAATTTAGGAAAGAATGGAGGGAGGTGGGGGGGGGGGCTGAAAGGGGAAAAAGTGGCTGGGAGGATGTGTCGCTTGCAACTACGAGTTATCAAACCCTTCCACGTGCACTTTCGCTTGACACGATGACGTCACGGCCGGTGACGTCGGTAGTTTGAAATATTTCGGTGGTGACGTCACCGGCCGTAATTGACGCTTCAGCCCTCTGCCCTTAGCACGCGTCTCAATGTCACGCACAGGAATATCACGTCGATCGTCGGAGAAATGAGGAGCTGCTGCTGCTGCTGCTGCTTGGCGTGCGTAGCGCGGTGCGTAGCGTGCGTGCGTGCGTGGCCGTGCGGATGCGTGGCGTGCAGTGCCATGCCGTGAAGTGGATTCGCGAGGTGTGCCGTTATGCTGCGTGTGTGGTGCGTGCATGCGTGCGTGCGTGCGTGCGTGCGTGTGTGGCGTGCGTGCGTGCCAACCGCGTGCCGTGAAGTGGCGTGCGTGATGTTGCGGGTGTGGTGCATGCGCGAGGTGGTCGCTGGGTGCACTTGCGTGAGTGCGTGTGTGCATGCGTAATGTGCATGTGTGTGTGCGTGTGTGCATGCATTGTGCATGTGTGTGTGGCGTGGGAGATCGTGTATGCGCGTGGGGCATGTGTGTGTGTGTAATGTGTGTGTGTTGTGTGCGTGTTGTAGTGTGTGTGGTGTGTGTGTGTGGCGCATGCGTGTGTGCGTTCGTTCGCGTGTACGTGCGTGAGAGCGTGTGTGGGTGTGGCGGCTTTACTTTAAAGATCTACGCGAAAATCTTGTGAATTCGTGCGGCAACCGTGACGTCGGCGATGGATGGATGCTCTCTTATCTGTTTATCGCAGACGATCGTGCGCGCGCGTGCGCGCGGTCCGCGCGGGCGGGTTGTCGCAGACGAATGGTTTTACGCGCCACTTTTTGTCGATACCTTTCGATTGCGCTCGTCTTTGTATCAGGCTTGCGTGCAGCAACTCATCGGCCGTCCTATTGCTGTTATTGAAGTTCTTGATACGAGACACGTACGTGGATCCGCGGAAAGGAGGGAGAGAGGGAGAGAGGGAGAGAGAAAGAGAGGGAGGGAGAGAGCGAGAGAGAGAGAGAGAGAAAGAGAGAGAGAGAGAGAGAGAGNAGAACGAAGAGAGAGATAAAAGAGAGTTGAAGTATAGGCAATATCGCGGATAATGAAGAAGAATTCATGCCGAATGAACCGTATATGAATGCGCGCAATGTTCGTTTGATGAGCAGTACAAAATATTCTCTGCATGCATGACTCTTTAATTCCAATATAATTCTCGTAGTATAAAATGTGTTTTCCCATTCGATTCACACATTACATACGAGGGAAGGCACCACAGAAGTAGACCCAAGCATGAAGGCGGATTTGAGGCGCACACGCGAAAAAGCACATAGTACCTGTAACACTACACACACACACACACCACACACATGCACACACACACCACATCACACACACACACCACAGCACACACACATCACACACACACACCACACACACACAGCACACAGCACCACACACGACAAACACACATCACACAGCACACACACCCACGAGCACACACACACACACACACCGCGCGCGCACACATGCACACACGCAAGGAGCGACAAAGCAGTACATTAAGACACTCTGTCATCGCTTCCTCTAGCCACGCTGCTTCCTCTAGCCACGCTGCTTCCTCTAGCCACGCTGCTTCCTCTAGCCACGCTGCTCGCTCTAGCCACGCTTGCGTTCCTCTAGCCACGCCTGCTTTCTTCTAGCCACGGCTTCCTCTAGCCACGCTGCTTCCTGCTAGCACGCTGTTTCCTTAGCCACGCTGCCTTCCTCTAGCACGCTGCTTCCTCTATCCACGCCTGCTTCTCTAGCCACGCTGCTTCCTCTAGCCACGCTTGCTTTCCTCTAGCGCACGCTGCCTTCCTCTAGGCCCCCGCCACGCTGCCTTCCTCTAGCGACGCTGCTTCCTCTAGCGGACGCTGCTCTTCTCTAGCGACGCTGGCTTCCTCTAGCCACGCTGCTTCCTCTAGCGTAGCTGCTTCCTCTAGCGACGCTGCTTCCTCTAGCGACGCTGCTTCCTCTAGCGTAGCTGCTTCCTCTAGCGACGCTGCTTCCTCTAGCCACGCTGCTTCCTCTAGCCACGCTGCTTCCTCTAGCGACGCTGCTTCCTCTAGCGCAGCTGCTTCCTCTAGCGATGCTTCTTTCTCTCCTCCCGGCAACAAACGTTCTTCACAGTGTGTTGTCTGCATGAATAGCGGGCGCCACCTGCCGGGCATCACAGGGCGCCACCTAGCAGGTATCGCCGGCGCCACCTGTCGGGTATTATAAAGCGCCACCTGGCAGGCATCACAGGGCGCTACCTCACGGTGCGCGCGCGGCGCCCCCTGGCGCTCACACGGTAGTCGTTGCACAGGCCTTGCTGCAGTCGTCGCACTGCATGACGTCATCTTCCTGAGCGACGCCAGCACTCTCTAGGAAGTCGAGCGTGACGTCATGCGTCGACACGGATATCGTTCCTCCGGCGAAGTAGAGAGGCGTGCGGCTGTAGTAGGCGTGTCCGGGCGCCAGCCGCGAGACGGGAGAATCCCTCAACACCGCCTCCGCAAACACATCCCCGCTGCGGCAGCAGCAGGCGAGCCGGAACTCTGTCCGGAAGTGCGTCGACAGCACTGCGTAGATTATCGGGCGGATGGAGAAGCTGAGATAGGCGAGGCACAGCGAGCCGACGAGCAGCCAGAACGACTCGGGCCAGCCTATGCTGTCTAGTGCACGCGTGTTGTGTACAGTGATCAGCTCCATAGCGTAGTGCGCCGGCCACAGACACACGAAGGCGGCGACGACGAACGACGTCATCCGGGTCACGGAGGATGCGTCGGCGCCGTAGTAGACGACGTCGAGTTCACCGCGACGCAGCGAGCAGTGTGACGCAGCGCTGCGTCTCGCCGCGACGCAGGTGAAGACGACGGCGAGGCACCCGGGGATGACGTAGGAGAGAGCGAATTTCGTGTAGACGTGCACCTTAGCCGGATGGAAGTTACAGTAACCGCGTTTCGGATTGAAACGGAATTGACCGTCCTGTGTGACGGAAAACGGACCGAGTCGCTGCGCGTTCGGGTATTCGAACACATACTCCGTGATCGGGAACGCGTAGATCCCTATCGCACACCCACTCAGCCAGAGAACGGTGATCGCCGCCAGGTGGTGCCGGTGTCGGTCCGTGTTCGGGTAGATCCGGGTGAGCATGCGCTCTAGTGCCAGCAACACGATCGTGTAACTACTCACGTACAGCGTGACGATGCTAGCGTAGCTCGTGATCTCACACGCGGCGGCCCCGAACGGCCAGTGTTGCAGGGCTGCGTTGATAGCAGCACTACCGCAGTCTGTGATGATGAAGAAGAGATCGGCAGTGGCGAGGTTGAGGACGAGCGTGTCGGTGCTGCTGCGGTGCGGGTTCGTAGATATCACCCACATCGTGAGACAGTTGCCGGACAGGCCTACGATGGCGATAGTCCACAGTATGACGGCCGGGATCACCTCGGACGCCTCGGCCATCGCTTCATCCGGCGTGCGTGGATACCGCTAGATGATCCCGCATCCCTGATGAGTGTCGCAGCTTGCTTCCTAAGAGCTTGACACTTAACTGTTCAACGTCTGAGAAACCGAGAGCCACCATCTGTGAATGGAGTAACGATCCGGCATTCATACAGACCTAAGCTATAAGTACGGGAAAATTATGTCCTTCATTACAACGACGAGAGAAAATTCCGAAGATTCCGAGTAATTCGGAGAGCTAATGATAATGACGCCGCGGCGGTTATTTCTGATATAAGCGCGCGGCACCGTTGCGATGCGACCGCACGCAAATTAAAGATGGCGGATGAAGTGTCATGGCGGACGCTGATTTCAAGCAGCGCTGTTCGCCCGTTAGGTCTGCACGCGTCATGAGATATTTCTAGAATTAATTTTTAGAATTAATTTGTCAGAATTAATAGACATGTTTACATACCGTATGGTGTGAAGTACGAAACAAATGTGCCGGGAAAGCAGCAGAGAGTACAAGGAAAAGCAGGAACTAGAAAAAGGAGAGGGAGAGAGAGCGCGTGAGCGAGAGGGGAGGGGAGAGGGAGGTGAAGAGATGACGACGTTGATGAAACGGTATGTAAATTAATCATACTGTACAGTAAAGAACGTATGATAATAACATGACTAATTAATCATACTGTACAGTAAAGAACGTATGATAATAACATGACTAATTATAAATGACATAATAACATTATATTGCCATATAACCAGTGGGATTTAATATGATAAGGTATTCAAAATCAGGTATCAAATGAAAGTATAAATGTTATTACAGCGTCACAATAAAAATGCGATCATAACATTACGAAATAAATGTTTTTCACGACATCAAATAAATCCTTTTGCGTTTTGCAAGCACGTCAACCTGCCACCAGGTTGACAAATCCCATTTAGCATGGGGACTTGGGGACACAACAAAGAAAAACATTAACACTGTTGGGGATGTGGTGATGTTGTGTGTGATGTGTGTGTGTAGTGTGTGTGTGTTGTGTGTAGGTGTGCTGTAGTAGTTGTGTGTGTGTTATGTGTTTACGTGTCGTGTGTGTGGCTCGTGTGTCTGTGTGTACGTAGACGTGTGCTGTATTGTGTGTGTGTGTTGTGTGTGTGTTGCTGTCATGTGTACGTGTGCTGGTGATGTTTTGTGTTGCGGGTGGGCTGTGCGTTGTGTGTGTGTGTTTGTGTGACTGCTGTGCGCGCGCGGCCCCGCCGGCGCGTGTGTGTTTTTGGGTGTGTCTGTATGTATTGTGTGTGTGTGCCGTTTGTGCTGCGCGCCGGGGTCCAGCTCGCGCGGTCGAGTGTTTTGGCATGTGTGTTATGTATGTGTACGTGTGTTGCACTGTGTGTGCTGTTGTGTGTGTGTGGATGTGTGTGTGTGTGCTTTGATGTGTGGTGTGTGTGTACGTGTGTTGTCTGTAATGAAGTTTGGTGTGTGCTGAGTGTGTGGTTGTGTGTGTGTGTGTGTGAGTGTGTATGTGTGTTGATGTGTGTGTGTGTGGTGCTATGTGTGTGTGTTGTGTGTGCATGTGTGTGTGTTGGGTGGTGCGTGTGTGCTATGTAATGTGTGTGTGTGTTGTGGCGCGCACGCCGGCGTGTGTCGTGCGTGTGTGAGAGAGGAGAACCAAAAAAGCTGGCATTCAATCACCCGTTGCATTGAAACATTCCTGTTTGACTAAGTATCGGTCATTCGTTCCTTCTCTCTCGGTTCATTGAAGTGCATATAGATTAATTGCAATACGTTTGAAGCCAGCTGTATGAAGAGTGCAGGACAGATGCTGCTGCCATACCAATACTATACATGCTATGCCCCGTACGCTACTTAGACGTATAGTGGCTTTAATTATGCAACTCGCGGAAAGTCTTTGAACTCGGCGGCTGTGTAATCAGTGGGCTTCCTCCCTTACACTGTGCATATCCGGTTTTCATGACACGTAATACCCTCGCTCGACGGGTTCCGCCCATCGATTTTTTCAATTTTACGAATCGACTTTCCCAGGCGTAGGAAAAAAAAAACGCTCGCTACTGAGATTCGTAGTGAACAAATGATGTGACGTTAGCATATTGATAGACAAAGTAGACCCCCGGTGCGGTTTCTATCAACCCGAGATGATGGTGGAGGAGGGAGAAAGAAGGGTAGATGATGGAGGGTGACAGAGACAGAGAAGAGAGGGAGGGGTGAAGTGGATAAGGAAGGTGTAGATAATGTGAGGGGTGGGTTAGCGTAGATAAGGAGGGAGAGGTTGAGTTGTGAGGCGCAGGAGAGAGGGAGACATCT